TTGTACTATGTCTTGTGTGGACATTTATTTCCTCAACTGAAATGTTTCATTCTTTTATAGCTTCTCTTCCCATGAGGTCAAAACATGTATTAGTTGGTCGACTCAGCAAGATTTAGCATGTCATATTTTCATAGAAGTATAAGGAAACTAAACTACTGAACCATATCTCTTGTTCTGTGTAGTTTTACAGGTTAATTCATTTATTTTTTAAAAGATTTATTTACTTATTTGAAAGTCAGAGTTAGAGAGAGAAGGAGAGGCAGAGAGAGAGAGAGAGAGAGAGATTTCAATTTCAGTTGAGGAATAGAGAGAGAGAGAGAGAGAGTGAGAGAGAGAGAGAGAGAGAGGTCTTCCATCTGCTGGTTCATGCCCTAGTTGGCCACAGCGGCCAGAGCTGTGCAGATCTGAAGCTAGAAGCCAGGAGCCAGGAGCCAGGAGCCAGGAGCCAGGAGCCAGGAGCCAGGAGCCAGGAGCCAGGAGCTTCTTCTAGGTCTCCCACTCGGGTGCAGGGACCCAACCACTTGGGCTGTCTCCTAATGTTTTCCCAGGCCATAGCAGGGATCTGGATCGGAAGTGGAGCAGCTGGAACTGAAACCAGAGCCCATATGAGATGCCAGCACTGCAGGTAGCAGCTTTACCCACTATGCCACTGCACCAATCTTCCCACAATGACATTTCTTAAGCAGGAAATATATTTACACTTTTCTCTTTTGACTATTTTGTAAAAGTGTTTTTCTTAGGGTACTATGTTTTTTTTTTAAACTTTTATTTAATAAATATAAATTTCCAAAGTACAGTTTATTGATTACAATGGCTTCCTCCCCCATAACTTCCCTCCCACCCGCAACCCTCCCATCTCCCACTCCCTCTCCCATTCCATTTGCATCAAGATTCATTTTCAATTCTCTTTATATACAGAAGATCAATTTAGTACATGTTAAGTAAAGATTTCAACAGTTTGTAGGGTACTATATTTGAAGCTATCATTGTGATAGAATGTTATCTACTCAAAATATGTTTATTATATTATTTGATGTTATGTATTTAAAAAAAAATTTTTTTTTGCCAGGCAGAGTTAGTGAGAGAGAGAGACAGAGAGAGACTTATAGACAGTGTGAGAGAGAAAGATAGAAAGAAAGGTCTTCCTTTCCGTTGGTTCACCACCTAAGTGGCTGCTACAGCCGGTGCGCTGTGCTGATCTGAAGTTAGGAGCCAGGTGCTTCCTCCTGGTCTCCCATGCAGGTGCAGGGCCCAAGCACTTGGGCCATCCTCCACTGCCTTCCCAGGTCACAGCAGAGAGCTGGACTAGAAGAGGAGCAACTGGGACAGAATCCGGCACCCCAACCGGGACTAGAACCCGGAGTGCTGGCGCCGCAGGGGGAGGATTAGCCTAGTGAGCCATAGCGCCAGCCTGATGTCATGTATTTTTAAGGTTTAGTCTACTGGATCTGAAAAACTTTAGGTACTTATTCCAGACACCCACCATAGGTACTAGATTTGTATTTTTAATAATTTTTCAGATCATATTTATGCACATGAAATTATGAAAAACTTTTTATTTGAAGGGAGGGAAAGTTGATGTTTAAATACACCCCTTTACTTCTTTATTTTTAATTTTTTTAAGGTGAACAGATTTCATGTATTTCATATGTACAAATTCAGTAGAAAAATGATACTTTCCACCATACTCTCCCTCCCGTCCATGCTTCCACCCTTCCTCCTCTTTTCTTTTTCACTATTTCTCTTGATTTTTACAATGATCTACAAAAAAGTATTCCTGTCCCTCAAGATGTACTGATGTTTTCTTGGCCAATTGTTTTATCATGTTTTAGCAATAGAAGTAAGTCAGTTGCTTTCCATTAAATTGATGATATGACCAAGCATTCTAAAATTTCTAATTGGATCATTTGCTCAGTTAAATGGATGCATCAATTTAGTTTACCTGAATTCAATCAATTCAATAATCAACAAATAACACTTGGATAGCTAAGTACGGTTTTATGGAAAATAATCAATTGTGTAACTAAGGGCCTTGTTGACTTCTGATATATAGTTACCTCCATTGTATTTACCGTGTGGCTCTGTTGCCTAGATTGTAAATTGAATGATGATTAGTCATCAAATCTTACTATTTTTTGTGTCCCAAGCTCCCAGGACCATGCTTGGTTTGTTGTTGTCAGCTTTTATATGTGCCTTTGAATTGATGAATGAATAGGTATGCCACTGAGATATGTTCCAGGAAGTATCATAGAATGATCAAGTAGTTGTATTTGTAAACCAGCATGTGTCACAGACCAAAGTAATTCTAGAGAAATGTTTGTGGAAGGAAGTACAAGTAGGTTTCAACGGATACTTACTAATTAAATATAGTGAAAATACAATCCAAAAAAAAAAAAAAAAAAAAGAAAGTACACCTTATTGCATAAGCCTATTCTAATCCTTTTAAAAACGGTATTGATATTGCATAATATTTAATTGAATGAATATACAACTGTGTTAGTCTCCTTAGGCTTTGTTCCTCTTTTTTGCTGTTAAAGAATACTTCACTGAATGTCATTCTGCAGTTATTTTCTGTCTTTTAAATTATATATTCCAACCAATTCAAATATTTTTGGAATTATTTAGTATATGTGCTGCCGAATCAGGCACTGGAATTATTTAAATATGAAGTCTAAAAAGTGAATAAATGGGGGCCGGCACTTTGGCATAGCAGGTTAAGCTGCTGCCTGTAGTGCCGGCATCCTACATGGGCACCGGTTTTAGTCCCGGCTGCTCTACTTCTGATCCAGCTCTCTGCTTTGGCCTGGGAAAGCAGTAGAAGATGGCCCAAGTCCTTGGGCCCCTGCACCCACGTGGGAGACCTTGAAGAAGTTCCTGCTCATTCTGGCCAATTGGAGAATGGACCAGTGAATGGAAGACCTCTCTCTCTCTCTCTCTCTCTCTCTCTCTGTGCCTCTCCTTCTCTCTCTGTGTGACTCTGAATTTCAAATGAATATATAAATTTAAAAAAAGTGAATGAATGAATGAGCTGTTTCTCATAATCTTCCACTGGGGCATGAATTTAATAAACATATTTGAATTGTCAAATATTTAAGTTGCTGCTTCAACTTTATAAATAGTGCTATGATGCCTAATTCAAATTTTCTTGTTATTCTAGGGTATAGTCACAAACATATATGGCCATTTTTCATATTTATTTAAATTGATAAAATAGTCAACAGTTATATATATTTATCATGTGCTACATGTTTTGAAATAGGTATACTTTGTGGGATGGCTAAATAGAGCTAATTAACACATGCAATACCTCACAAAACTCTTGTTTTTAAACTGAAAACAATTAAATTCTCCTCTCCTAATTTTAGAGAATGCAATAACTTGTTATTAACTATAGTTACCGTATTTTACAATAGATCTCTTGAACTGATTCTTCCTATCTAACTACAATTTTGTATCCTTGACCTTCATCTTTGCTACATCAGCCCTCTATACTTCATTGGTCCTTAGGTAGCACAATTTTACTCTCTACTTCTATGAGTTCAATAGATTATACCTATAAGTGAGAAATTAATTCAATTTCAAAAGACACTATTAATGAATTGGTGTGCTGATTTTCTTACAACTTTGGAATTGTTGAATGAGATTTTAAGTGCTGTGTTAAAATCTTACAAATTACATGATAGGAACAATGGTAAAATAATCATTATAATAACAGCCATTTATTAAGTAGTTACTTTGCATTAGGTATTTAATCCTTTGAATAGCTATGTGAGGAGCATATGATCATATGGAGAGGGAACTTAACTTCAGAGATTAAACATGGACCAAAGATCTTTGGGCCACTAGGGTGACAAAGCTAGGATTTGAGGCAGCATCTGACTCTAAACCTGTGCTAACAATTGTTTTTCTGCCTCGTTGTTTAATTTATATTTTTATTACTAACCACATTAAGCATTTATTCCACTTATTTATTTGCAAATTATATTTCCTCTTGTATGAATTTTATTTGTATTTTTTGATTAATCAATTCATCTGATTTATTTTGTGTACTATAGATAGGTTCCCTCTGCAAAAAAATTTGTTGAAAAATTGGCATATATTTTATTTTTTAGATTTTTTAAATAAATATTAAATTTTTACACCATTGTTTTTTCTATGTAACTTCTTTTTCAAATTAATTGAAGCTTCAAGCATTATTCTTTTAAATATTTTATTTATTTATTTGAGAGGCAGAGTTACAGAGAGAGGGAGAGACAAAGAGAAAGTTCTTCTATCTGCTGGTTCACTCTCCAAATGGCTGCAACAGCCAGAGCTAGGCTGATCTGAAGCCAGAAGCCAGGAGCTTCTCCCAGGTCTCCAATGTGGGTGAAGGGGCCCAAGCACTTGGACCATCTTTTATAGCTTTCCCAGGCCATAAGCAGAGAGGTGGATTGGAAGAGGAGTTGCTGGGACATGAACTGGCGCCCATGTGGGATGCCAATGCTACAGGCAGATGCTTAGCCTACAATGCCACAGCACCAGCCCACTGTTATTCTTTTAAACAACTGAAATATCTTCCTCTTTTAAAAGAATTTCTATTTTTAGATTTAAAGATGTTTAATTCTTTATTTATATGAATTAAATATATTTAAATAGTAACACTAGTTTTTGTATATTGGCAAGTTTGGAGGCAAGGAGAATTAACCAACATAGTAGTGTTTCAGCAAATGAATATGAAAGAAGGATGGGATTGTGTGAAGACACAAATTAACATGTATGGAGTGTGTTCTTTGTACTGTGCATTTATGTTTGAGGAATGGAGTCTGGTTAGGAGTCTTTCCTATTAAATCACTCTTGATATAACAAGGGTCTGAAGTAGGCTAGCTTCACTAGAAGGAAAAAGGGAACAATAAGATTCAGAATAACCTCTACATCTCTCCTTTTATTTTAAAATTTTGTTTATTAATTTGGGGGGGGGGAGGGGAAAAGGAGGAGGGGAGAGAGGGAGTGAGGAGGGAGAGAGAGACAGGCTCTTCTATCCATTGATTCACTCCCCAAATGACTGAGAGCCTGAGACAGCTGGGGCTGGGTCAGGCTGAAGTCAGGAGCTGAGAACTCAGTCAAGGTGTCTGTGTGGGTGGCAGGGACTCAAATATATGAGCCATCACCTGCTGCCTCCCAGAGTGTGCATCAGGGCAAGTTAGAATAAGGAGTGAAACTGGAACTGAAACCCAGGCACTTTGATATGGGATACAGATATCTCTAACTGCTATGCCAAATGCCTATCCCTTTCTCTTTTATTCTTCATGCCACATGCATATTAATCCTATGTTAAATTATTTTGGAGAATTACTGGTCATTTCACATTATTTTCAGGTAAAAGAGCTATATGAGTAATTCAGGTAGAAGCAGATTTATTATTATTTTATTATTATTATTTATTTGACAGGCAGAGTTAGTGAGAGAGAGAGACAGAGAAAAAAGTTTTCCTTTTCCGTTGGTTCACCCCCCTAATGGCCGCTAAGACTGGCACGCTTTGCTGATCCGAAGCCAGGAGCCAGGTGCTTCTCCTGGTCTCCCATGCGGGTGCAGGGCCCAAGCACTTGGGCCATCCTCCACTGCACTCTGGGCCACAGCAGAGAGCTGGACTGGAAGAGGAGCAGCCGGGACTAGTACCCGGCACCCATATGGGATGCCGGCGCCACAGGTGGAGGATTAACCAAGTGAGCCATGGCACCAGCCCCTATTATTATTATTTTTAAAACCACATTGTGAATCTTTAGAATTTATTTAAGCTGAACAAAGTACTTATTATAAGATCATTGTTTACTGAACTGGAGGAGCTACATTGACATTTATATATTTTGGATGTGTTTTTATGTTTTTAGTTGTATAGGAAGGACACTATTGAAAGTAAACTATACACCTATACTCTTTAGTTGTCACGTATAGCTGATTGCTCATCTCCAGTTTCTATGACTTGTTCCAAAGGCATCTCTAATGGTGTTAGAAATAGGAGAACAGAGTCCAACCACTGACCTTACTGTAAGTGGTCAAGCTAGTTTACCCAGTACAGTTTGAGTGACACAGTTTTATAACATTTGAGGAATATAAGTAAACAGTAAATGTAATAATGGCTGACATTTCTGTAGAAACTTGATGTTTACACATATTTTCACAATGTATTATTTAATTTTTAGAACAGTCTAAGATAAGATCTTGAAACTAGAGCCTAATTTTAGTTTCCATGCATTATACAATGCTGGAATTAGTAGAAAAGAAGGCTTTAAATATATAAAGATTTTGTGACACAAAACAGATCCCTAATATAGGAAACAGATCTTAATATGGGAAAAGAAAACACAAACAAATGGACAAAGAGAAGGAGAGGTACAAAAAGTGTATATGAGGACAAAATGCCTCACACTGAAGACTAGGTATCAGAAGGAAGTCTTAATGTTTCTGTCCTAGTTTAAGTCTCCTCTTCGGGTTGATTCATAAATGTTTAGTTTTGACAGGTAGAAGCTGAATAATTGAAATCCCCTAATCATGTGCAGAGATTCTTATGTTGTGACTCTTCACTCTTCAAGGTTAACAGTGATGATGAAATGAATGTTCACTGACACCATGGGTCATGTACATGCCACATTAAAGGAAATAGCTCATAATTTTCACAACAACCAGATGAAACAAGCTCACTTCTCTCCATTTTTAAACAAGGGGGAAAGAAGAGATGAGAGGTTAAATGACAGCTAGTGAGTGGATGAACAATGACTGGATATTGGATTACCTGACACCAAAGTTTACATATTTAATAATCATGCTCTGCTACAGGGAAGATATTAAGAAGACCCTGGAAGCATCTTCTGAACAAAAAATATTTTGAGTTAGAACTATATTCTAACTGTATTCTAACCAGGTAAACTATTCTGATATGTTTTTTTTTTTTAATTTTTTGACAGGCAGAGTTAGACAATGAGAGAGAGAGAGAGACAGAGAGAGAGAGAGTTAAAGACAGTGAGAGAGAGAGAGAGAGAGAAAAGTCTTCCTTTTTCCCTTGGTTTACCCCCAAAGTGGCCACTACAGCTGGTGTGCTGCGCTGATCCGAAGTCAGGAGCCAGGTGCTTCCTCCTGGTCTCCCATGCAGGTACAGGGCCCAAGCACTTGGGCCATCCTCCACTGCCTTCCCGGGCCACAGCAGAGAGCTGGACTGGAAGAGGAGCAACCGGGACAGAATCTGGTGCCTCAACTGGGACTAGAATCTGGGGTGCTGGTGCTGCAGGCAGAGGATTAGCCAAGTGAGCCACGGCGCCGGCCCTAATATAGTTCTAATATAGAACTATATTCTAACCAGGTAAACTGCTCCCATTTCCCATTTCCCATAAGTCACCAGTTATCCATGCTGGAGGCCTTTCTCAAGCAGCCTGGGAAACCTCCCATTAGACAGGCCATTGGGCAAAGTTCACACCACTGAATTATTGAGAAAATGCCTACTGCCTTCCTGAGACAGCCAATATGGCCAGCATAAGAATTAGGTTCAGCTGACTCAGCAGCAGTGTTCATCCTGGCTGCTGATTAGGCTTACTTTATGGGTGAGAAACCTAAGGCTTCATCAGAGAAGTTATATATATTTGCCTCATCTGAAAAAAATATTTATTTGTTCATTATCTATTTATTTGAAAAGCAGAGTGAAAGAGAGAAATAGAAAAATGAAAAGATCTTCCATCTGCTGCTTCACTCTCTAAATGCCAGCATTGGGCGAGGCTGAAACCAGGAGCCTGGAACTCCATCTGGGTCTCCAATGAGGGTGGCAGAAGCCTGAGCACTTTAGCCATTATCTGTAGCCTCCCAGGATGCACTAGCAGGAAGCTGGGTTGGAAGCCAAACAGCCTATACTTGAATAGATACTCCAACTTGGAATAAATAAATCCCAAGTGGTGGCTTAGCACTCTGTGCCACAAAGCCTGCTTTAGATTTACCTACTTTGATTAAATGTTTATCCATGGTGGAGACAAGAGAACAGTTTCCTGGACTTGAAGAGATATCCATTGAACACAAATGGCAATAAGATAAAGATTTTAAGACTTTTCTTGGAAACCTGTTCTGGAAATTCAATAAATACTAGGACATCATTCTATATATTTTCTTTCAAGAATAAAATGATTTCTATATTTAGTTCAGTTCTAAAAGTACTGAGTTCAGATTGAAAATGGATATTTCCTGTTAAAAATTGTTATTATTTTCTTCTCAGAATGATGGCTTCCTTTTTTTGCCTTTTGAGAAAATGTGTGTTCTGTCAGCAGCGATGAGCACAGATCTGGGTGCTGATCAAGACCCTAAACTGAGACCTGAGAAAATGCAGAGCTGAGGCAAGAAGTTCCAGGAAGTACTCTAAAGCCTGTCACGCTTCTGTGGTATTTCAAAAAAAGGTGAACTTGAGGTGAATATGAAAACGGTAAAGGCTTGGGTTAGTCTGAATGACAGAAAATTGAAAAGCAGAAAGTGGATTTTTTAGTGTAATATAAGAACAGGAAAAGAGAAAACGTGTCTACTCGAGATTGAGACATACTTTGGATAAAAGATCAAGCCTTTTCTCATGACCTTCAAAGGTTTTTATTATTTGGTTTCATTAACCACGTTCTCCCTGTCTCTCACTGTGCTCTTGTTGAGCTTCATTCATTTCTTGTACACCTGCTTTAATCTAAGGACCTTCCCTGTTTGCCATTCCCCTTTTGTGAAATGCCTTTCCTATATTCTTTTTTAAAATTTTTATTTATGATATACAAATTTCATGTAATTCATGCATACGTATTTAGGAACATGGTGATACTTCCCACCCTACCCTCCCTCTTGCCCACACTCCCACCCTTCTTCCTCCTCCCTCTCCTATTCTCACTCTTAATTTTTACAATGATCTACTTTCAGTTTACTTTATACTCATAATATTAACCTTACATTAAGTAAAGAATTAAACAAATAGTAACTTGGTCTATCTTCTGCTATCTTACCAGATACATTAGCGGAGCTGGATCAAAAGCAGAGCAGCCGGAACTCCAACCGGCTCTCTGATACGGGATGCTGGCATCACAAACAGTGGCTTAACCCACTGTTCCAAAATGCCAACTTCTTATTTCTTTATTGTTATTCTGCATTTCTTCAGTATTGTCATGTGCATTTGTAGTTACACAATAAAAGGAAGGATTAGATTTTTATTTTCAGAGAAAAGCAAGATGTGGTTAAGTCAGAAACCTCCTGCTGAAGTGGCCTGGAAGGGGGTTCAAAGAAAGACAAACCAGATAGGCTGGTGGAGTTTTTAAGCACAATTAAAAGGCTGGGACAAAAAAATCTATCAAAAGGCTGTATTTGTAATCTTATTGGCACTAGCAGGGTGGGATAGGTAACTTTTTTCTATTCTCATGATAAAACTAGAAACTCATAAGGTGGCATAGGCACTTTGTCTTGCCAAAGGCAGCTTTGGGGGAGAAACATGCAGTGGGATTCAGCACTTTGTTCTTGCTAAAGATAACTTTTGGGGGAAACAAACATTTTGCACCATCTCAAAGAGATTTCCCTCTCCTCATATCCACCAAGACCAACCTAACTGCCTATTAACCTGTCTGATTCCTCACATTTCCTCCCCCAGAAGAATAGACCCTAACTACTACTCTGGTTCTTCAAGCTGAGAGGGGTGGAATAGGTACCAGCAGAAAGGAAGGGGTTCCAGCAGGAGGTGGCCTCTTGAGGGGGAGGCAGTGTTAGCTTGCAGAAACTGCTCCCATTCTAGGTTTCATTTGCATGGCCAAATAGAATTCAGTGCTTCAAGTTTGGAGAAAACTATTGTAATAAGCAGATTAAATATGCAGGGTCTAAAACAAAGGACAAAGTTATTATTAGAGGACCTAAGAAAGTTGCTATCCAAACCAGGATGAAGTTTTCCCTTTGAGAGGCAAATAGAAACTAACAGTAGGGGCTTGATAATAATCAGGTGGGCATTAAGGTATGGGCAGGTATATATGAGGCCCAGACCTATCTGTCATTTCATGTGGGATACTGGAAGAAGCATCACAAGGGAGATGTGAAGCTCCTTAGAAGGTACACTGTTGATTCCTGTTACCTAGTTAGCCTTGGAAGAGAGCTGGCCTGAATAGGAGGTTAGTATGGAATAGGCAGCAAATCTAAAAGGAAATTTACAGCTCTTCCTGAAATGTTACTGGGCCCCTGCACCCATGTAGGAGACCCAGAAGAAGCTTCTAAGTCTTGGCTCTGGATTGGCCCAGCTGCAACCATTGTGGCCATCTGGGGAATGAACCGGATGGAAGACATTTCTCTCTCTCTCTCTCTTTCTGCTTCTGCCTCTCTGTAACTCTGCTTTTCAAATGAATAAATACATCTTAGAAAAAAGAGGTCAACTAGAATGCAAGCTTCACATGAGTAAGGCATTTTTTTTCCTGTTTGGTTTACTGATTATTTCAATACCTTAGAATAGTACATGGCATTTAATAGAATCTTATTAAGTATTTGTTGAGTGAATGAAAACATGAACCAATGAACAAGACAAAATCATCACCACTGAGAAATTCAGAGACATCATTTTATTTTCTGCTTCTTAAATGAATTGTATTATAGGCTTCTTCACTCATGTTTTAGAATATTATTTCCCTCCTGCAACTACCCCTTTCTTTTTCCATTGTCATAAAGAAGCTAAAGCCCTTAACTTTGTCCATAGTCTTATCAGCTGTATAACCTGCACTGCAAGTTTCATTCTAATTAGAAGAAAGTGCTCAGGAATATAGACTGGAAAGTTCAGTAGATTTGCTTTTTTCCAGTGTCAAACCAGATCAACAGCATCGAAGAGTGTCCCCTAAATATTCCTGTCCACAAAAACCTGTAATGTGACTTTATTTGTAAGTAAGTTTTTTCCCAGAAACCTTTTATTTAATGAATAAAAAATCATTCATTTCATAAATACAACTTTAGGAACATTGTGATTCTCTCCCCAACCCCCTTGCCCGCCTTTCCAACTACACTTTTACCCTTCTTCCTCCTTCCTATCCTATTCCCATTCTTATTTTTTACTAAGATCTATCTTCAATTAATATATACACATACAATTAACGCTAAACCAAGTAAAAAGTTCAACATAGTATGAAAAAAAAAAAAACTGTTTCTCAACAGTTGAGATAAGGGCTGTTCAGTCATTGATTGCATCTCAAAGTGTCAAGTTCACTTCCAAATAGATTACCTTTTTTTTTTTTTTTCTATAGATACACACACCCCCCCTTGGTGGCTTTTATCTTTGGGTTATGCCTCTGTGGCTTAGTGGAGCGTCTGCTTTTTCAGTGAATACCCAGAGGCATGTGCTGTGTGTGGCCAGGGAGCTCTGTTCAGTGCTGCAGAGTGAAGAGAGTATCTAAGGTGACACTCATGTTTGGGCATGGAAAAATCTCTTTTTTTTTTCATCAGAGGGGAGATTTGATCAGCTCTGTTGGTATAGTCTCATACTCATCTCCTCTCTAAGGAGACCAATGCCTGGGCAGTAACCCCAGTGGGAACAATATTCATTCATGCTGCCACAAGATCTACACAAAGTATTCATGCAATCCTCAGTGTGAGCATGAATCCTTCAGCAATGACCTTCACCAGGGATTTAGGGAACCCTGAGCATGTGGAGCCACCCACAGTGATGGTCCAAAGACCCAGCCACACTCTGTGCCCTTCACTCAGCTACACCATTTTCGCAGTCCCAGCACACAAGACTCCCACAGTCATGATACCCAGCTCCCCCAATTATCCCAACCAGACTCAGGCATCTGTGGTTGATGGGTGTATGGACACAAGCTGATGCAACTGTTATATATGTCTAAAATGTCACGTGCCTTCTCTCAACTAGTTATAGGATGCCAGTGCCAGGTGATCAGCGAGAGAGATATGTGCCCCCCCCCCACCCTTTTCCTCTGGTTTGGTAGGTACACTGTCCCCCACAGGTTTCCAAGCTGGACTCACACCAGGCTCTTCCCAAATCTTTATCGTATGTGGCTTGGGCTGCTGCAGTCTGATCTCACTTCTTTCTCCAAAGCTGGTGCTGAGGCTCTTGGCTGCTGGGTCCTGAGTTGTGCACATCCACTCACTCCATGTAGATACACAGTGTTCCTCTAATTTACATGTAATTGCCTCTGCAGTTTTTTCCCTGACTCTTCCCTGAGATTGCACTTTCACTTTTTTTAAACTATCTTCCCCTAGACTAGAACAGTAAGCTCTCTCTCTATTCTGCCATCTTGGAATCTTTCTTCTAAGGTTTACTTTTTTTTAAGTATTTATTTCATATGAAAGGCAGAGAGGCAGAAACAGTGAAAGATCTTCATCTGCTAGTTCACTTCCATCAGCTGGTTCACTTGCCAAATGCCCACAACAGCTAGGGCTGTGCCAGGCAAAAACCAGGAGCCTGCAACTCAATCTGGGTCTTCCACACTGGTAGAAAGGACCCAACTACTTGGGACATCACTTGCTACCTCCCAAGGTACACATTGAGGGCAATCTGAAATTGCTAATAGAGTTAAGACTGCAACCCAGGCATTGTGATATGGGATGTGGGGTCCCAAGTGGTGTCTTAATCACTGCACCAAAAATCCATCTTGGAAACAGGATTTTTTTTTAGGCATAATCTACAAAGGTGAGGTCATACTGGATTCAATGGACTCTAGTATGATTGATGTCCTTACAAAAGTATGGAAATTTGGACACACATACTAACATACAGAAAGCACTATAAAGGCAGCGGAAACCAATATAAATGCAGACCAAGGCACAGCAGGGATTGGCAGAAACTACCAGGGAAGTCTTTTCCATGGATGATAACATGTACAGGCTCTATGACAGAGAACATCCATTTGCTGGTTCACCTCCCAAATGGCTACGACAGTTTGGCCAGGCTAAAGCAAGAACACAGGAATTTTATCCAGGTCTTCCACATGGGTGGCAGAGGCCCAAGTACTTGATCAATTCTCTGTGGCTTTCCAGGCATATTTACAAGGAGTTGGATTGGGAGTAGAACAGATGAGACTTGAACCAGGTCTTTGATATGGGGTGGCAGCATTGTGTCAGTTTGACCCACTGTGCCATAATGGTGGTCTCTTTTTTAGTGTTTTTTTTTTTTTTGATTTATTTATTTAAAAGGCAGAGTTACAAAGAGAGAGAGAGACAGACAGACAGACAGACAGACAGAGAGGTCTTGCATCCTCTGGTTTACTTTCCAAATGGCTGCAAGGGCTACAGTTGGCGCAATTGGAAGCCAGGAGCCAGGAGCTTCTTCTAGGTCTCCCACATGGCAAGCACGTGGGCCATCTTCTGCTGCTTTCCCAGGCACATTAACAGGGAGCTGGATTGGAAGTGGAGCAAAAAGGACTCAAACTGGCACCCATATAGGATGCTGGTACCACAGGT